GCCCACCTGCCAAGGGTGGTAGGGGGACCTGGATTTTCCACTGGCTGCAAGAGGCAGGGCTCCTGCAGCTACTCAGCCATAGTGAGCCTCCCCTCCCTCTCCACCTGCAGGAGCCCAGCCACGGTGGGTAGTGAGGGGCCCAACACACAAGCAGACCAGCTGCCATGGACCTTACAGGGACCCAAGCTCCCAGGATGCTGCTGGAGGAGCGAGGGGACCTCAGAGCCCCCAGCCCCGATGGGTGCTGGACCCTCCTCCCTCCCCATTTTGACAGGGACAGGGCATAGGTTTCCATGAATTTTTTTTTATTTGCCCATGATGTCTACTAAAAATATCCATGACAGAAACTGGAGCCATACCCATGGGCACTGAAGACTAATCTATACCCTAGACTGCAGATGTACCCAATAGTGTCGTGTGGCCAGATGTTCTCAGCGCTTTTCCAAGTATTTCCAGTAGACAAAAAAACAACAACCCCCCCCCCACACACATACACACAGAGTTCCTCCTGATGCAGTAGCAAAGACCTCACTAAGTCAGTCTATATGGGTATGTCTACACTACCCCACTAGTTCGAACTATGTAGGCATACCGCACTTGCAATGTAGACATACCGCCCAGAACGTTTGTTTAATGACAGACTGGCAGCACATAGTCAGTGTCAGAGATGCCAACAGCCACCCTGCCAACCTTCCTCACAACCTCTATACCTGTCAAAAAATGCATGTGCTCTGGAATGCCATCTTCAGTGCATTCTCGAAACTGGTAAGAGTTGTTGTTTTTCCTTCTCCGGGCTTGTGTATTTTAGGGGTGCTGGTTGGTATGACCAGGGGACATGAATGGATTGCAATGCAATGCATGATGGGATGGACCCTGGACCAATCATGGCCAAAGGCGTTATTTTGAGAAAATGGAGATCTTGTGATTCCTCCCTCACATAGGGTATGTCTACACTACCCTCCTAGTTCGAACTAGGAGGGTAGTGTAGACATACCCTATGTGAGGGAGGAATCACAAGATCTCCATTTTCTCAAAATAACGCCTTTGGCCATGATTGGTCCAGGGTCCATCCCATCATGCATTGCATTGCAATCCATTCATGTCCCCTGGTCATACCAACCAGCACCCCTAAAATACACAAGCCCGGAGAAGGAAAAACAACAACTCTTACCAGTTTCGAGAATGCACTGAAGATGGCATTCCAGAGCACATGCATTTTTTGACAGGTATAGAGGTTGTGAG